GCCATGTTCCCCGCCATGATGATAATGGACTGAACCTCTGAACTGTAAGCTGCCACCACAATGAAATGTTTTCTTTTCTTCTTCTTCTTCTTCTTCTTCTTCTTCTTCTTCTTCTTCTTCTTCTTCTTCTTCTTCTTCTTCTTCTTCTTCTTCTTCTTTTTTTCCGAGACAGGGTTTCTCTGTGTAGCCCTGGCTGTCCTGGATCTCGCTCTGTAGCCCAGGCTGTCCTCGAACTCACAAAGATCCACCTGCCTCTGCCTCCCAAGAGCTGGGATTAAAGGCGGCCACCACCACCCAGCTAAATGTTTTCTTTATAAGAGTTGCCATGGTCATGTCTCTTCACAGCAATGAAAACCCTAACTAAGACATAACCTCAGGCCTCCCCATGTGTGCATGCACACTTACACACACTCACACACACTCATACACAGACAGACAGTTGCACATGTGCAAACACGCACACAGTTACACATGTGCAAACACACACACTCACACACACAGTTACACATATGCAAACACACACACACACACACACACACACACACACACGCACCCCCCAACTCAAACAGGAAAAAGAAAAAGAATTAGACTTGTGCCTTGGCCTTACAGATGCTGCTGTGACACACAGCTGTGCTGAGGTGACGCCCAGCTCTGCAAGGCTCCCCACTCTCAGAGCCACACTGGAAATTAAAGTTGGGCCGTCGTCACACGTTAGGGACAGGGAGCCTGGAGTCTGGGGTGGCGTGTCCTCTGAGGCCCTTTCTGTTTTGATAAGGAACATGACATCCACCTGGCATCTGCTAGAACAAGTGTGCCTTTCAGTCCCTTACGTGGAGCAAAGGGGCCCGGCCGGCATCCTTTCAGGGCTGGCTGCACGAAAGGAGGGACGTTCTCAGGACACAGGTCCCACACCATGAAGACGTCCTGAGCCTTCTGTGAGCTGTGTGGCCTGAGGTCATGGTTAGGGGTCTCCCTTAGGAGAGTCCAGGGGCATATTTCTGGATCTGCAGCCAAATAACCTGGGCTACACAGAGGGCAGGCAGAGTGAGGCTGGAGGTTACAGCAGCCCGAGGAGCCTGATAGGGTTGTTGATCATCTCAGTGTCACCCAGAGAAATGCCAGAGTAATCCTTCTGGGCATTCTGGCATTTTTTGGGCACCTGAGTTGGAAGGCAGAGCTTTGAGGAGGCCTGACGTCTCAGGGACAGGCTTAGCTGGAGTGTTAGGCAACATGGACACTTGTTCCTCCCCACATGGCAGTGGGCTAAGGGAAAGCATTCAGTGTTTTTGTGTGGCACTATTCTTGGGAACAATATGAACATCTACTCACCTAGGCAGGACAGATGATAGACCAAAGCAAAGGACAGACACCACTGAAGTCCAGCTTGGTGAACCAGTGAGTTCCCTGGAGTTCCTCACAGGAGCAGAAACGACTCAAAGACGACTGTACCAGGCTACCCCAGCACAGGTGACAGCCCATGAGAGCAGGGACCCCAGAGCTCTGCAGCCTACAGCCCAGAGTGTCCCCTCAACAGTCTTTGGAGAGGGAGGGCTTTTGTGAACTTGATAAATTTCAAGGGCTCACTGAACTCACAGGGTCACGGGGTCACCACAGACACCAGAGTGAGGAGGAGCCAAGGGTTAACGGAAAGTCTCCAGCCAGCCACCAAAATGCTACTGTAGGACAATCCCAAGGTTCAGGGCTGAACAAAACACGAATGGACTAGGGTTAATATGAAGGGCTTTTGTGTTGAGCTTTTGAAGATTTTTATGTGTGTGTTTTGCCTGCATATCTATCAGTGTCTGCAGAGGATGGAGAAGGGCATCAGATCCCCTGAAACTGCAGTTACAGACGGTTGTGGGCTGCCGTGTGGGTGCTGGGAATTGAACCCAGGTCCTCTGGAAGATCAGCCAGTGACCTTAACTGTGGAGCCACCTCTCCAGCCTCCTCCCCCCCTTTTCAGTGGCTCACTGAGTCCACTGTTCCTCACATGCACATGGGTGTGGGGCTGTCCGCTGAGGCATAGGCAATTGTCTTAGTTAGGGTCTCTATTGCTGTGCAGAGACACCATGACCACGGACGGCAACTTTTATAAAGGAAAACATTTAACTGGGGCTGGTTTATAGTTCAGAGGTTTTTAGTCCATTATCATCATGGTGGGATGTGGTAGCATTCAGGCAGACATGGTGCTGGAGAAGGAGCTCAGAGTTCTGCATCTGGATTTGCAGGCAACAGGAGACTGTGCCACACTGGGTGTAGCTTGAGCATAGGAGACCTCAAAGCCGCCTCCGCAGTGACACACTTCCTCCAATAAAGCCACACCTACTCCAGTAAGACCACACCTCCTAATAGTGCCACTCCCTATGGGCCAAGCATTCCAACACACGAATCTATGGGGACCATTCCTATTTAAATCCCCACAACCACCTACCAATGTCCACCTCACAAAAGCAAGTGGGAGTCCTTTCCCAGCAGCCAGCAGCTGTGGATAGCCCCTCACTGGGGGTGGGCCTAGTGAACCCCTCTGATGGGGTCCTTTTAAAAAGCCATTTTCTAGCTGGGTGTGGTGGTGCACGCCTTTAATCCCAGCAGTTGGGAGGCAGAGACAGGCTGATCTCTGAGTTGGAGGCCAGCCTGGGCTACAGAGTGAGTTCTAGGATAGCCAGGGCTACACAGAGAAACCCTATTTTGAAAAACAAGTGAACAAACAAACAAACAAACAAACAAACAAACAAGTCATTTTCTTGCTTTTGTTTCTTTTGGGCACTCACGTGTTCTGAGCACATGCAGGACAGAGGACATCTTGAAGGCATTCATTCTCTCCTCCGTACCATGTGAGTCCCGGGGTTGGACTCAGGAGGGCAGGCTTGGCAGCAAGCACCTTTACCTGCTGAGCCATCAAATCAGTACCGAGGTAAAGGTTCTGTGTTGGGTCCGTGGTCCAAGCCCCTGTCCGGTTAGGTGCCCATAGTTCCCGGTGTAGAGGGACAGGGGGCCATGAGGAGGTGAGAATTCTGAACCATACCCAATACCCCATATGTGTACCATATGAGGACCTGTACCAATACCCACCACCTGTACCCATACCAGCATATGTAACCATAACCACAACCTAAACCCAAACCCAACCCCTGTCCACACACAGAGCCCCTTTACCCTACCTCACTCCAGTCCTCATATCCCACCCTTTCTCTGTAACAAGACCCAGACCCAAACCAAACTCCTGCACCCTTGCCCAGCGCCTGTATTCATAACCACATTCTGTACCCATATCCAACACCTGAACCCATTCCAAGACCTGAATCCAAACCAAACACCAGAACTCATTCCAAACCCATAAACCCATAAACCATACCTCTACCCATACCAGGACCTCAACCCATACCCCATACCTGTACCCATATCCAGTAACTGTACCCATATCCATCGCCTGTACCCATAACCACAACCTGAACCCATATCCAACTCCTGAACCCATACCAAGACTTGTATCCATTTCCAGTACCTGTATCTATACCAAGCACCTGTACGCATAACCACAACTGGTACCCATTACCAGCGTCTGTACCAATACTAGGACCTGTACCTATACCCCATATCTGCACCCATACCCAGCCCCTTTACCTATACCTCACTCCTGTACCCATATCAACCACTGTCACTGTACTGTGACCTGAACCCATACCAAACTCCTGTACCCGTATCCAGCCCCTGTATCCGTAACCACAACCTGTACCATACCCAAAACCTGAACCCATATCCAACTCCTGAACCCATACCAAGACCTGTACCCATATCCAAGACCTGTACCCATATCCAAGACCTGTACCCATATCCAGCACTTGTAACTATAACCACAACCTGAACACATATCCAATACCTGTACCCATTTCCAGTGCCTGTACCCATACCAGAACTTCTACTCATACCTCATACCTATACTCCATACCCAACACCTGTACCCATACCCAGCCTGTTTACTCTACCTCTCTCCTGTACCCATATATAACCCTTGTCCCTGTACCACGACCTTTATCCATACCAAACGCCTGTAACCATAACCAGCACCTGTACACATATCCAATACCTGCACCCATGCCCAGCCCCTGTATTCATAACCATAACTTGTACCCATATCCAACAAGTGCACACATACTAAGAACTGTAACCATACCCAAAACCTGACCCACACTCAACACCTCAACCCATAACCCATACCTGATACACACCAGGACCTGTACCCATGAATCATACCTTTACCTATACCCAATACCTGTACCCATTCCCAGACCCTTTATCCTTATCTCACACCTGTACCCATATCCAACATCTGTCCCTGTATCATGACCTGTACCCATACCAAACTCCTGTAACCATACCTAGCACCTGTACCCATAACCACAACCTGTTCACAGTCCCAAATCCGAAACTATACCCAACTCCTGAACCCATACCAAGACTTGTACCCATATCTAATACCTGTACCCATATGTATCACCTGTACGTACAACCACAACCTGAACCCATACCCAACACCTGAAACCATACCCAACACCTGAACCTATTCCCAACACCTGAACCCATAACCCATACCTGCAACCATACCCAACACCTCTACCCATGCCCCATACCTTTACCCATACAAAACACCTGTATACATACCAAGCCCCTTTATTCTTACCTCACACCTGTACCCATATCCAACCCCTTTTCCTGTATCATGACTTGTACCCATACCAAACTCCAGTAACCATACCCAGCACCTGTACTCATATCCAGTTTCTCTACACATACACAGCTCCTGTACCCATGACCAAAACCCTTACCCATTCCCAATACCTGAACCCATATCTAACTTGTGAATCCATACCAAGACCTGTACCTATACCAGGACCTGTACCCATGCCAAGCCCATGCATCTTTATTTCACACCTGTACCCATATCCAAGCCCTGTCCCTGTACCACAACCTGTACCCATACAAAACTCCTGTTACCATACCCAGCACCTGTACCCATATCCAATTCCTCTACCCATGCCCAGCTCCTGTACCAAAAACCACATCCTAGACCCATTCCCAAAACCTGAACTCATAACCAACTCCTGAACCTATACCAAGACCTGTACCCATACACAATTCCTGTACCCATACCCAGTGCCTGTACCCATAATCACAACCTGAACCCATATCCAGCTCCTGTATTGATCACCAGAACCTGTAACCAGAACCTGAACCCATGCCGAACACCTGAATCCATTCCCAACAACTTAACCCATACCCCATACCCCATCCTACACCCATATACAACCCCTATCCCTGTAACATGACCTGAATCCATACCAAACTCCTGTAATCATAACCAGAACCTTTCTGTACCCATATCCATACCTGAACCTATTTTCAAAACCCGATTCCATTCCCAACACCTGAACCCAAAACCCATATAAGGACCTGTACCCATGCCTCATTCCTTTACCCATACACAACACATGTACCCATACCAAGCCCTGTCCTTGTATCACGACTTGTACCCATACCAAACTCCTGTAACCATACCCAGATCCTGTATGCATAACTACAACCTGTACCCATGCCCAGAACCTGAATTCATATCCAACACCTGAACCCATACCTAAGCCCTTTACCAATACCAAGCTCCTGTAACTGTACCCAGCCACTGACCCATAACCACACCCTGAACCCATATCCAAAACCAAGCCCATACCAAGACCTGTACCTATATCCAATACCTATATCCATATCCAGTGCCTGTACCCATAACCACAACCTAACCCACATCCAACACCTGAACCAATACCAAGACCTGTACCCATATCCAGCCCCTGTACTCATTATCACAACCTGTACTCATATTCAACCCCTGTTCCTATACCAGGACCTGTACCATACCCCATACCTGTACTCATACCCACAAGCTGTACCCATACCAAGCCCCTTGACCTAAATCTCAATCATGTACCCATATCCAATCCTAGTCCCTGTACCATAAACTGGACCCATAGCAAACTCCTGTACCCATAACCACAACCTGTCCCCATACTCAGCACTTGTATCCATATCCAATACCTCTACCTATACCCAGCTCCTGTACCTATAACCACAACCTGTACCCATTCCCCAAACCTGAAACCATAACCAACTCCTGAACCCATACCAAGACCTGTACCTATATTGAATACCTGTACCAATACCCAGCGCCTGTACCCATAATTAAGCACAACCTGTACCCAAACCCAACATCTCTATCTAAACCAAGCTCCCTTACCCTGCCTCACTCTAGTCCCCATATACAACCCTTTCTCTGTACCCAGACCTGAACCCATATCAAACTGTACCCATAACCAGCTTTTGTACCCATAACCACAACCTGTACCTGTATCCAATACCTGAACACATTCCATGGCCTGTACCCATAAACAATACCAGAATCCATACCCAACACCTGTACCCATATCCAACCCCTTTCCCTGTATCACGACACGAACCCATATCCAGCCCCTGTACCCATAACCACAATCTGGACCTATTCTCATAACCTGAACACATACCCAACTCTTGTATGAATACCAAGCCCCTTTACCCATACTAAACTCCTGAAACCATACCAAGCACCTGTACCCATAACCACAACCTGAACCTATATCCAGCACCTGAACCCACATCAAGACCTGTATCCATATCCAATACCTATACCCACAGCCAGTGCCTGTACCCATAACCACACCCTGAAATGATATCCAGCCCCTGTACACATACAAGGACCTGTATCCATACCCAAAACTGTACCTATACCAAACCCTTATACATATACCTCACTCCTGAACCCATATCCAATCCCTGTTCCTGTACCATGACCTGAATCCATACCAAACTCCTGTACCCATACCCAGCACCTGTACTCATAGACCATACCTGTACCCATACCCAAAACCTGAACCCATACCCAACATCTCGTTTCCAACACCTGAACACATACATAGCCCCTTTACCCATACCAAGCTCCTTTAACCATACCCAGCCACTGTACCCATAACCACAACGAACCCATATCCAATTCCTGAACCCATACTACCTTCACCTGTACCCATAACCACAACCTGTTCCAAAACCTGAACTCATATCCAACATCTGAACCAATACCAAGACCTCTACCCATATCCAGCGCCTATACCCATAACCAAAACCTGTACACACATTCATCCCCTATACCCATACCCCATTCCTGTACCCATACCTTAAACCTGAACCCATACCAAGACCCTGTACTGATATCTCATTCCTGTACCCTTGTCTAATTCCTCTCCCTGTACCACGACATCAACCCATATCAAACTCCTGTCCCCACACACATTCCTGTACCCATAACCACAACCTATTCCCATATCCAGCACCTGTACCCATATCCAATACCTCTACCCATACTCAGCTCCTGTACCCATGACCACAAACTGTACCCATTCCCAAAACTTGAAACCATAACCATCTCCTGAACCCATACCAAGACCTGTACCCATATCAAATACCTGTACTGATTTCCAGTGCCTGTACCCATAAGCACAACCTCTACCCATATCCAGCATCTGTACCCATAACTACAATCCTGTACCAAAACCCAACACCTCTACAAACACCAAGACCCTTTACCCTACCTCGCTCCAGTCCCCATATCCAACCTTTTCCCTGTACCAAGACCTGAACCCACACCAAAATCTGTACCCATACCCAGCCCTTGTACCCATAACTACAACATGTACCCATATCCAATACATGAGCCCATTTCATGACCTGTACCCATAACCAACACCAGAACTCATACACAACACCTGAACCTATTCACAACACCTGAACCCATTTCAAACACCTGAACCCATAAACCAAACTTATACACACACCAGGACCTCTAACCATACCCCATACTGGTACCCATATTCAATACTTGTACCCATATTATTGGGGACTATTGGGGTCCAGCCCCTAATAATCTCCTTTCCAGGGTCCGAGGAAGAATCTATCAACCAGCTGAGAATCTATTCTTTAAGGTAGGCAAATCAATCTACGCACACAGAGTTCTTTGGTCCATTCGCTTTAATCCATCTTCCCCATCCCTCGCTTTACAGTTATATATCCCCCAGAAATCACAATCCTCCCCTCCACCCAGGACACCCAGCCTGAACTTCTTCAGGCAGTGATTGTCCATTATCAGGATCAAATGGAGGGGTGATAAGAATTACAATGAGGGGCAATAGTTGTTAATTACCATTTGCAACTCAAAGGGAAGTGACTAGTGAATTGACTAAAGGCTAAATTGGGGTAATATCTAAGAGGGATCTTATGTGCACAATTGTAGTCTAAAATATGTTTGGTAAAGAATGTTGAAAATCTAAATATTCCTAGAAGTGGTTAGGTAAGTAGTTAGAGGTCTAAAGTTAAAGGCTGTAAGAAAGGAGGGCCTAAGCTAAATTGTGTAAAACTATTACTTAGTGTCCACCTGACCTAGGCGGTGTCCTCTTGTGAATTTACTGTAAGTCAGAAGACTTGCATGTGGGCTGTTATCATTGTTAGTCCTTAGAAGTTGGGTGCCCCCTGGGTGGTGTCTCCTTGTGGAATTTAAGTCAGGAGACTTTCAGGTGGGCTGTTATCATTGTTAGTCTTTGGCAGTTGGGCGTCCACCTGGGTGGTGTTTCCTGTAGTCCTTGAAAGTGGCTAAGGGAGATATCTGATTCCAGAGAAAGCCTTTCCTGAGGCTGTTCTCCAAATACCTGGAATGTGTATTCCAGAGAGTGATCAGTCCACACTGTTAGCCCTTCTTAGGGAAAAATCAATTGGGAAAACTATGAAGGCACACATAATTTTCATAACAGAAGACAGCTGATATATAACAAGTCAAGTAACACCAAAAATTCCTTGGGATTTGGCTTCCTCTGGAGGAATTCCCTGATCCCTCCAGGTAGTGACTTTGACATAACCAGCTGAGTTCTTATGATATATTCCTGCGGCCCGCAGCACCATATCAAGCGTCTGTACAAATAACCACAACCTAACCCATATGAAGCACCTGTATGCATAACCACAACCTGTACCTATTCCCAAAACCTGAACCCATATTCAACTTCTGAACCCATATCAAGACCTATACCCATTTCCTATGCCTGTATCCAAATCCAGCACATGTACCCATAGCCATAACATGAACTCATATCCATCACCTGAACCCATACCAAGACCTGTACCCGTATCCAATACCTGTACCCATAAACACAACCTGTACCCATTCCCAAATCCTGAACCCAAATCCATCACCTGAACCCATATTAAGACCTGTACCCATATCCAAAGCCTGTACCCATA